AGAAGCATGTTTTAAAATAGTGGTCGTGTGCCACCATCTACAATATCTGTCTGTCTGTCTGTCTGTCTGTCTGTCTGCCTACCTATCGTTCGATCGACAGTCAGACAGACAGACAGACAAGGCATTCTCTCCAGCTGAAGAGAAAGAAGGGACAGTATCTCTTTGGATGACATAAATCACCTTTAACATTTTTTGTTCCTGGGTTATAAATACCATTTCCTAATTGGTTCTATAATACAAACATGAAAAAATATTATCAACTGCAAAACTTTGTTTTTGTGGGACATCCTACAGCACATTTTTGATTCTACTATAATTTTTCAATGAGTAGAGTCTCAATCCATTCAACATAGTTTGCAGCAGCCACCAAAACAAAGTTTCTGGAGTATAAAAACTACTTTCAAAGTAAGTATCACACAATTAAACAGGAAATAACATTTTCAAACCAGGAACAGATTTTCTTAAAAATATATAGTTTTTAAAGAATCAGAGTATCTTCAAAGCAAATTTTAACTGACTAGTTAAGCACTGCTGTCCTAGATACAATTCACTTCCAATAAATAAATTCCATCTTTATTACACCCTATTTCAAATAATTCCATACTTTTGGGGTGGGGGGAGTCATCTGAATATCTTAATAAGGATTGAGTCCACTATAATCTCTATTTTTAGTTTGCTGACTTTAGCCACAGTTTTCCCATTCAAAATGGCTTTATGCTAGCTCTTTTAATATTAAACAGACTATAGAGCATATGGCATGAACATTGTAAAGCTCATTTCTTCATCCATGCTGCCAATAGTATTCTGTGCAGCAGACTGAACATGATAAACATCGAGATTAAATCAATGCTAGTAGAGTTTTCAATCCATGTGTCATACTGAGCACGCTCATACTTTGCTCTGGAAAAGTAATTCAAAAGCACATATATTAAATTGCCTTTTATTTAGTACAATAGCTTTTGTAAAGCCTTTCCTATGACTGCCAGTATGGTTTGGGTATTGAACTAGGACTCTGAAGGCAAGAGTTTGAATCCCTGTTTAACCATGACAACTCACTGGGTGACCTTCAGCAAGTTACTCTTCCAGTCCGAGTTGCAAAAGCTCTGCAACTCTGAACAAACCTTGCCAAGAAAACTCTGTGACAGATTTGCTTTAAGGTAGCCATAAGTCTGAAACAACCTGAAGGCACACATTTTCCAAAACATAATTCTACTTCTTGACTTTTTAAAAAATGAGGATGTCATTTAATTTCAGCAAGAATTCATTCACCAGAAAGAAGTACACAAACTTGGCATGAAGAAGCAATAATGAACTGGAGGCTTACTGGTAACTTAAGAATTCAAGATGTTATTAATAGGGAGGTGGGAATTTCCAACTAGGCTTACTTTTATGACTCACAGAAGTATCAGCATTAACCTTTTATATGATACTATCCAAACTCAGTGGATATGTTTCATATGGTGGTGGTGGGGGAGGGATTAGATATGGAGAAATCATAATTACTCCATCCCACTTTTATCTTGGGAGGACCGTTTCTGAAAGGACGGATGAGTTTCAAACAAAAGTGTGAATGGGAGAGTTGTGCAAATCACAGAGCTTGGGTGGGTTGGTCCAGCTTTTTTTAAAGTGCTGTAAGGTGCTCTTTGCTATGGCACTACTACTACCTATAACAAGGAAAGGCCCTCTGCACCATGACCGAGTAAATTCTTTATATTCAAATGTTGCCAAATTTAATACCCAACATCTCTCTCGCCAAGGCCAAGAAAGCCTCTTACTTGAAACTAATGAGCACTGCTGTCAATTCATACAGTCCAAATATATGGAGTCTGTGGCCTTCCAGAGCATGTTTGACTCCAATTCCCATCAGCCACTGGCAATATGATCACTGGTCCAGAACAATAGGAGCCCTGATACAACAATTCCAAAAGTATATCATAGTTTCCTATTCCAAAAGCAAACCACTCTCATGCCCCGTCTACAACCCATTTTAATGAAGACTGAATTGCATTATATGGTCATTTTATGTATCTACACTGACCATATAATGCACTTCAATCTGCATTATAATTGCAGTGTAAATGGGGCCTCCTACATTCCTAACAACACCAAAGCATGAAGACAGTAGACTTTCTTCCTAGTTTAACAAATTGCAGCCTGCTTCCACTTATCAACAGAGTAGAAAAGGTTAAAAGGTCTTCATGGGGGGGGGGGGGGGAGAGAGAGGGGGGGACAGAGATCAGAAAAGAGGAAATCCTAAAAACCATTTAAATAAGGCTAATCATGGCTACTTGTAGATCTTAACAAACCATTTAAATAAGGCTAAACAGCTAAGCAGGATCAGCTCTGGTTAGCGCTTGAACAGAAGACTGCCAACAAATACCAGGTACTGTAAGCTATGTTGCAGTGGGAGGGCTACCAACCCCCCCCCCTTTAAGAATACCATAGGAAATTACAACACACACATACACACACACACACACACACACACACACATCTTCTCAAAAGCTACCATAGGGCCCTTCCACACATCCCAGAATATCAAGGCAGAAAATCCCACATTATCTGAGTGTGGAATCAGATAATCCAGTTCAAAGCAGATATTGTGGGATTTTCTGCCTTGATATTCTGGGATATAGGGCTGTGTGGAAGGGCCCATAGTATCCAAGAGGCACCAGATTTTGCCTGATCAAAGAAACTGTAAGCTAAGTCAGGTTTGGTCAAAACCTGGATTTGGGGGGGGGGGGGGTGGTGGGGGGGGGGGAATTCACCAAGGAAAACTTGGTGCCAATCAGAGGAAGACACCTCAGAGTATTCCTTGCCTAAGAAAACCCTATGCAATGTACAAGGTCACCATAAATTGACAAGCAATCTAAAGGTGCATAGGCACGCAGGCAGGCACATGCACTCCTTGCAAGGCATGTTTCTTCTGGCTAAGAAGAAAGAGGCAGAAGCAGACCACATCTTAGGGCGTGCCTTCCCTTTAAAAGACTGAGAAGGAGACAGTTCTGGATCAGACACACACACAGAGAGCATCTCCTTCATAGAATAAATGCAGTTCGACACTGCTTTAACTGTGATGGCTGAATGCTACGGTATCCTGGGAGTTGCAGTTTAGTGAGGCACCAGCACCCTTTAGCAGAAAGGGATAAAGACCTAGCAAAACTTTTTGAACCAGAACAATTCTCTTCCTTTGGGGGGATGAATGCAGTTGAACATTACTTGAACTACCCTTCCTCAGTGCTAGGAAATCCTGGGAGTTTGTAGTTTGGGGAGGCACCAGCCCTTCTTGGCCAGGGAAGTCCCAAGACCTTGTCAAACCACAGTTGCCAAGCTTTCATAGCACTGAGCCGTGGCAATGAGTGTGAGGCCAAACTGAATCCATTCTACGGACTAGGTGCACCTAGAGAGAGGGCCCTTCCAGACAGGCCACATATCCCAGATATTCTGTTTATCCCAGATTATCTGGCAGTGCAGACTTGTATAATCCAGTTTAAAGCAGAAAACCTGGGATCAGATTCTGGGATAGAGGGCCAGTCTGGAAGGGCCCAGAGACACAGAGAGAAAGGGACGGAGATACAGGAACAGAGGGAAAAGAGAGGGACAGAAAGACTGAGAGAAAGGCAAAGAGAGAGAGAAGCACATAGAGAGGAAGTGAGATAGAATGACCCATCTACACTGCATTATAATGCAGATTGAACTGGATTATATGGTAATGTGGACTGACTTGTGTAATTCAGTACAATGCATTTCAATCTGCATGACATGCATCCACATTGACCATAAATTGCAGTTCAAACTGCCTTATAGGGCAGCATAGAAGGGGTCAAAGCCACATTTGAACTGGGTTATATGGCAATGTAGATTCATGTAATTCAGTTCAATCTGCATGATATGAGTCCACATTGACCATATAATGCAGCTCAAACTGCATTAAAGGGCAGCGTAGAAGGGGTCAACGCCACAGTTGGACTGGATTATATGGCAATGTAAATGCATGTAATTCTATGAGTCCACATTGACCATATCATGAAGTTCAAACTGCAATATAGAGCAGCATACAAGGTGTCAAAGCCACAGTTGAATTGGATCATATGGCAATGTAGACTCGTGTGATTCTTTGAGTCCACATTGACCATATCATGAAGTTCAAACTGCATTATAGAGCAGCGTAGAAGGGGTCAATGCCACAGCTGAACTGGATTATAAGGCAATGTAGACTCATGTGATTCTATGAGTCCACATTGACCATATCATGAAGTTCAAACTGCATTATAGAGCAGCGTAGAAGGGGTCAACACCACAGTTGAACTGTATTATAAGGCAATGTAGACTCATGTGATTCTATGAGTCCACACTKACCATATTATGAAGTTCAGACTGCGTTACAGAGCAGCGTAGAAGGAGTCAACACCACAGAGACACAGAGATACAAAGAAAGGCACAGAGATATAAAGAGATGGAGGCACAAAGAAACACACACGGAGAGAGACAGAGAAAGAGGAGAAGACTCAGAGACACAAAGAGAGGAGGAAGACACAGAAAAAGAAAGGGAGACAGAAAGGGAGAGATAAGAAGGCGGCACAGAGAGAAAGAGAGACACTGAGAGAAAGGCAGACAGGAGAGAAAGAAAGGGAGACAGAGAGGGACATGGGGATGGAAAKAGAGAGGAGGAAACAATAATGAAGGAGACCGACCCTCGGGAGCACCTTGTGGGGAGGAGAATTGGGAGAGGGGAGGGGGAGGAGACCCTGCCCTGCCTGTCCTTGGCCAAAACAAAGCGAAGGGGGCGTGGGAGGCGCTCCTGCCGGACCCCCGACTGCTTGCCTGCCTGCCTGCCTGTCCGCCTTTCCAAACTTTCCCTCGCCTCAGGGAAGAGAGGCAGTGAGTGAGCCGCGCAGGGAAGAAAGGGAACAAAACAAAAGGCGGGACAGACGAGGAAAGAAGGGAGAGGAGCAAGGCTCGCCATGGAATAAGAAGAAGGAGGAAGAGGAGGCACTCACCGTGGCCTCCCGAGGAGGTCTGGGGGCGAGCGAGAAAGGGAGGCTTGCTCAAGGCGGAGGGCGCTGAGGCATGGTGCTCGGCCGCTTTCTCGCTCCCTTCTTGCCTGCCTGCCTGCCTTCCTCCCAGAAAGGACTCGGCTGCCCCTCTGCCCGGCCCTCTCCCTGCTGCTCCGCCCCACAGCGCCTGCTTCCAAGCGCCTCCTCCTTCTCCGCCCCCTTTCTCGCCCCCTTCGAGGCCGGGCTTGGCTGGAGCCTCGCGGGGAGGAGCACGTCGGGGCCTGGCCTCCCTTTTGCAGGGCGCCCGAGAAAGTTTTTCCCACTGGAGTGACGCCTTTTGGAAGGCAACGTCTACACCAAAGGGGGTCACACTCATGAATGGACCTCACCACACTAGGCAGTGATTCTCAACCTGTGGGTCCCCAGATGTTTTGGCCTTCAATTCCCAGAAATCCTAACAGCTGGTAAAGTGGCTGGGATTTCTGGGAGTTGTAGGCCAAAACACCCGGGGAACCACTGCACTAGAGGATGAATCCACTTTAAATCCAGTTGCTGCTTCCTGCATTATTCTGGGGTTTGTAGTTTAGGGAGGAGCCTTTAACAGGAGGAGGCAGAAACCAGATTTAAGGTGGATTCATTTCCATTACAAGAAAACTCACTGAAGGTCCTGTATCTTCATTTATTCTCTCCTTCTCTGGAGGTTCTTAAGCAGAAGCTGGATGGGCATCTTTTAGGAGTGCTTTGATTGTGTTTTCCTGCATGGCACGCACACACACACACACACACACACACAATATATATATATATATATATATAATATAGGAATGATATATTATATCATGGAAGCTGCAGTTTTACAACCTCTTTTTGGCCTTTTCTGCCAAAGAGGGCTGGTACCTCATCAAACTACAACCCACATGATTCCATAGCACTGACCCATGGAAGCTAAAATGATATTAAGCTGCATTCATTCTACAACGTTAATTGGCACTGGTTAAGCTTCCACTGCATCATGGGACTCTTTTGCCTTCTACAGACCGGGGGGGGGGGGGCATATACACTGCAGAATGAATGCAGTTTGACATCACTTTTACTGCCATGACTCGATGCAGTAGGCTCAATGCCATGAAATCCTGGGAGTTGTAGTTTGATGACCAGCACTCTTTGGCAGAGAAGGCTATGGACCTTTCTGTCCTCCCTCCCTTGGGCAAAGTTTTGATAACTTCATGTAGTGACAGTACTGGGAGGGGTTAAATAATAATAATAATAATAATAATAATAATAATAATAATAATAATAATATCATTTGCCTGCGACAAAGAACTGCTGGGATCACATGCCAGAAAAAGTTACAGAGAATGAACACATCAAACTACTCTGGGACTTCCGGATTCAGACAGAGTTTTGGAGAACAATACTCCTGACCTCACATTCGTGTTAAAAAGCAAAGTATGGATTGCCGATGTTGCAATCCCAGGTGACAGCAGGATTGAAGAGAAACAACTGGAAAAGCTGACAGGATATGAGGATTTAAAGATCGAACTGCAAAGACTCTGGCACAAACCAGTAAAGTGGTCCCTTTGGTGATTGGCACACTGGGTGCAGTGCCTAAAGACCTTGGCCTGCCTTTAAAAACAATCGGTGCTGACAAGATTACTATCTGCCAGCTACAAAAGGCCACCTTACTGGGATCTGTACTCATTATTCGCCGATACATCACACAGTCCTAGACACTTAGGAAGTGTCCGACGTCTGATCCAATACAACAGCCAGCAGAGTGTCTGCTGTGGGCTCATCTTGTTGTGTTTCAAGTAAAATAATAATAATAATAACTTTGAAAAAGGAGATGGAGGGCCTGATTAGGCAACCCAAGAACAAGCCATTAGAACAAATGCCATCAAAGCCAGAATTGTCAACGACAGATCCCATCAAAGCCAGAATTGTCAACGACAGATCCCAAATGTCGTTCCTCTGCAAGGAAGCAGATGAAACAATAGATCACATCCTCAGCTGCTGCAAGAAGATTGCGCAGACAGACTACAAGCAGAGACATAACACCGTTGCTCAGATGAACTTGTGCCACAAATACCATCTGTCTGCGACAAAGAACAGGTGGTATCACAAGCCTGACAAAATTACCATCTGACAGCTGCAGAAGGCTACCTTACTGGGATCTGCATGCATTATTTGCCGATACATCACACAGACCTAGACACTTGAGAAGTGTCCGATGTGACCCAATACAACAGCCAGCAGAGTGATCTTGCCTGCTGTGGACTCATCTTGTTGTGTTTCTAATTATTAATATTAATATTAATATTATTCTTTTTTGTGTCAGGAGTAACTTGAGAAACTGCAATAATAATATTTCTTATTGGCCTCATCTCAAAGCCCAAGGCAAGGCTCAAATAGCTAAGATACATAGATTAAAAACATAAAACCATTAAAACACATATATTAAAAGACACAAATATAAGACTTAAACTCATTAAAATCATTCATACCAATAAATGCTAATTTAAAATTCATAGTTTAAAATTAACCATTTATCCAAAATTGATCTTCCCTTTTTTTATTTCTCTCAGCTGCCCCATATCTTCTTCCAGGGGCAAGTGAGCCAACTACATTCAGATATGGAGCTCTCCAAACCCCTGTTTTGGAACTACTCACAAGTTAAATTGCCAGTGGTGTTTATTGCATACCTACCAAAATACATTGTTTCTCCCCATCCCCCTCTAGTGGCCAAAAGGGGGAAATGCTGTCCATGCCGTTAAATAACACAAGGTAACAAAATTGGGAAAAAATTCTGTTCCTGGTTTGAAAGTGTTATTTCCTGTTTAATTGTGTGGTACTTACTTTTAAAGTACCGTATATTCCAGCATATAAGATGACTGGGTGTATAAGACGACCCCCAACTTTTCCAGTTAAAATATAGAGTTTGGGATATATTCGCCATATAAGACTACCCCTCTTCGAACGCACACCAATTTTTTTTAAAAAAGCATCAGATTTGATTTCAATATGGTAATTTCCCTATTACTGTACTGTTTTGTATCGATGTTGTTCACCGCTTTGAGTCGCCCGAGGGCTGAGAAAAGCGGTATATAAATAAAGTAAATAAATAAATAAATAAATAGATAAATAAATTCTCTGCCTCTCAGATCTCGCACATGTGCACTTGCACCGCTTCACTGCAGTCTTCAGGAGCGAGATCTGAGAGGCAGAGGAGGAGGTCAAACAGGTAAAAGAGGTGTGTTTGTCTGTGCCCAGAGCCACTCTATCTCTTTTTTCCATACCCCGGATGCCCCGAATGCCTGAGCTTGCTCCGCCCTTCACTTACACCTTCCTGGTGAGGCGCCCCTTCACCTTACCATGGGGACCGCATTAAGTCCACGAATCCTGATGAGTGGATTTTCTTCTACCGTACTTGTGCAGCGCCACCCTTAATGCTTTCATACAGTCGCTGAATACGGCAGGGACACAGCCATTGCCATTTTTGAGCTCCCCCCACCATATGTGGCAACCACAGATTCTCCAATCCGATTGGAAGTTTCAGCACATGCTCTATAAGACTACTCCCGTATATAAGACTACTCCCGTGCATAAGACTACTCCCGTGCATAAGACTACTCCCGTGTATGAGACTACTCCCGTATATAAGACTACTCCAGCCTATAAGACAACCCCACGTATAAGACGACCCCTGACTACTGAGAAGATTTTCTTGGGTTAAAAAGTAGTCTTATATGCCAGAATATATGGTAGTTGTTATACGCCAGAAACTTTGCCATTTTTAACCTTTCAATATACCATTTTTTAACCTTTTGTGCAGATCGCAAAACAAAGTATTTGCAGTTTAATAAAATTTTCCATGGGCAGAATTTCTAAGAAAGGAATACAATGGACTTTATATAAAGGAAAGTTAAAAGAAACTTAAAGGGCAGGATGAAAAATAAGAAAACAACGCTATGCAAATAAAAAAGAATTTTAGACAAAAAAAAAATAGAACTTCGGCAAAACTGAACCTGGAAGTAATTCACAGTGAAAATACTTTTGCTTTACCCTGTCTACTCTTTTCTCTTTCTTTCAATTTTTTCCTCTTTGCCTTTTTGTTTTTGTTTTTGTGTTTTTTTCCTCCTTTTTCTCTAAACACTTTTTTTCTCTTTCCTCCATTAAGTTTCAAATTTTTCTTTGACTTTAATGTTCTCCCACTTTCGATGTACCTTCTTCAAATCGCAGTTTTACTTTAGGCATAATTCTTAATAAAAAGCATAATTAAAAAAAATTCCATGGGTTGTTGTAGGTTTTGCGGGCTATATGGCCATGTTCTAGAAGCATTCTCTCCTGACGTTTCGCCTGCATCTATGGCAAGCATCTTCAGAGGCTGTAAGGTCTGTTGGAACTAGGAAAATTGGATTTATATATCTGTGGATGGTCCAGGGTGGGACAAAGAACTCTTGTCTGTTGGAGCTAGGTGTGAATGTTTCAATTGGCCACCTTGATGAGCATTTGATGGCCTGGCAGGAGAGAATGCTTCTAGAACATGGCCATATAGCCCGAAAAACCTACAATAACCCAGTGATTCCAGCCATGAAAGGCTTTGACAATACACATTTTTCCATGTTTTTATGATAAAACCAATTAGGAAATAACATTTGTACCCAGGAACAAAAATCGTATTACATCGTGTAATTAGAACTATAGTCAATCCTCCTTATCTATGGTTGCCATATCCACAAATTCAACCATCCAGGCTTGAAAATACAGGTTGAGAGCATCCCTTATTGGAATACTCCAAAATTTGCCATGTGGGTAGTTGAGATAATGCAGAAGACTCTCAGTTAACTGGAACCCAAGCAGCCAAAATTCTTAAGCAACTAGCAAACACCTCAAAGAAATAATACTTCAAATAAGAAATTAAAATAAACTATTTTTAGTAGAAATGTAAGTTTAAGCTTAAATTATTTTAAACTTTAAATAATGTTACTGAAGTTCATTGAGTTGAAAAGTATTGACTGCCATTCGACTAAAGCTGCATACTTCATTTACAAAGATGTTTTTATACAAAACGGTTACATAAAGTTTGTCTTTATTTGCTTTTAATTACTGTATCTCAATATTAGTATCAAATCAATGCAAAGTTTATGGTATGATATAATATGGGGTATAGTTAGGCCTATTTTAATAGT